CCCTGTCCTGATCCGTGCCTCTCTGTGAGGGGCGGACGGTGATTTGGGGGTGGAGTGGCAGTCAGTGGGTGTGTGAATTCCCCTGTCAGCTGTGTCTTGTGAAACGATCACAATGGGTGCCAGGCCTAAATATAGATTTGGGGAAGTGTGGCTCCTGCCTGCACACAAGAACACGCCAGTACGCAAGTACAGTCACATTATCCCGCGCTGACTCTTAAAGAGAATGAATGACATCACTGCGCGGTTCACAGGCTCCCGGCGTCCCATCACACGGTGCTGGGGGTGAGGGGCTACAGGGGTTCAGTCTGTGGGTTCGAGGGTCTATAACGCACCCTCCAGTCAAGTGTACAGAATAATATCCAACTCAGAGTCTTTGTACAGTAATTACAGCACAGAGTTTACAGTCTAGTGTACAACTAGATCACAACATACTTACAGGAGTGTCTGAACTGTACAACAGCAAGAATCTCTCTTGTACTCATTGTAAAATAACTACACACAGGGATCGCCGACTGTGCTGGAGTCACTCTGGACCGTCTGTGCACGGGGATCGCCGATTGTACCGGAGTGACTCCGGACCGTCTCCGCAAGGGGATCGGCAACTGTACCGGAGTGACTCCAGACGGTCTCCGCAAGGGGATCGCTAACTGTACCAGAGTGACACCGGACCGTCTCAGCAAGGAGATTGCCGACTGTACCCGAGTGACTCCAGATGGTCTCCACAAAGGGATCGCTAACTGTACCGGAGTGACACTGGACAGTACCGTGGCTCTTGCTGGTGAAGTAGTTGTAGTACTGGGAGATGTATGTGATGATGCTGAGGCGGTCGGGCACTTTCATGGACACCATGTCCTCGGGGTCCAGCAGAGCAGGGATGCCCAGCTCCGACTCCGCCACCTCGAACGCCTGGACAGAGGGAAGAGAGAGGATCAGATCCTTCATTCCACCGAGTCAGTCCCTGAACAGCACGGACCCAAACACAAGACTCGCGGCCTCGCAGCTGGAGGAACTCAACACGCAGAGGAAAAACCCAATACAGCATCCCAGAATAACTACATCTGAAATCCTGGCCAGTCGGGTCCTATTCCTCCTGCGAGAACTCCCTGTTCTCCACACTTTTCCCTGTGGGATTCTTCTGCTGCTGGACCGGAGAGCTCCTCTGAACTCCCAGTGAAATGCCCCAGCCTACCGCAGATACAGATTCAAGAGTTTGACAGGGTAGCATGAGTGACTGTGTGATTATGTGACTTTGTGAGCTTCAGTGTGTGTGTGACAAGATCTGATGTGTGTGCAGTCTGATGCAGCCCCACGTGCTGCCTGCAGTGACTCACTCTTGTGCTCTCTGCCTCAGAAGCGGAGCGCCGAACCCACAGGCGACAGGCAGAGGGACAGACAGGGAGACTATAAATAGTCGCCTCGTAGTCTCCAGGCTAAAAGCATCAGCTGCAGAGGGGCTCTATTTCTGACAGGGTGGAGCTCTCCCCGTTTTCTCTGAAGGGAAGAAAAGGGGTCGAGTGGCTGCAGCGCCACCTGTGGTCTGCTGTGGTATTGCAGGCCCTGCCAAGCCCCTCCATCAGTGGGCAGGACACCTCTCCCCGTGGAGGGAGGAGGAGGGAGAGAGATGGAGACCAGGGGACTGGGAAGCGATCCAAAGGGAGAGAAGAAAAATCTTCGCTCATACTCCTGTCCTGGAGCCCCTGCACTGGCTGCCTATCGGGTTTCAAAATCCCCCTGCTCACCCACACGGCTCTGCATGGCACCTGAGCACCGGTCTGAGCTGCTATGGCCCTGCTCCCCACCTCACAGCCCTCGCTCTGCTAACTCTCCTGTCTGTCCCCCAAGCCCGTCCACCCTCTAGGGGTGACAGGGCTCCTCCTGCTGCGCCCCAGCGCTCTGGAACTCTGTCCCCAAGGGTATCAGAGAGTCACCTTCCCTGAGCTCCTTCAAACCCAGACTCAAACCCTGTCAGCTCTTCTCATCGTCTCCAACAGTTCTAATCCCTCGTGTTTCCTTCTGCTGGTTTTGTTATCTCCCGTCTTTGTTACTTTTACTTCGGTTTTGACTGTTTTTTGACTGTTCCTGTAAAGTGATCCGAGACGCTACTTTTAAAGGCGCTATATGGAATAAAATGGATTCTTTCAGAGCGCTGGTGTCTAGGACGGCTGGAGAAAAGGGGGTTTGTGCTGCAGGAGAAGCAGCTCCAGCTCCTCCTCTGACAGCAGTGAGCACCCCCCCCCCCCAGCTGGGCTCCCCGTGTCAGTCGCCAGCAGGGACCGGTCGGCACGCCAACCCAGCGCTGCCCTGGCGGAAACACCGGCGTCACGAGACCCCCAGGCTGACAGAGAGGGAGGGAAGAGGAGAGCACATCTCTCAGCGCGGCGCCGTTGCGTACACGCCGCCGCGCAGACTACCCTCCCCCTTGAAGCACCCTCTGGAACGGCATTTACACAGAGGGTGGCGGGGGTGTGCAACGAGCTGCCCGGTCAAAGCTGTTCAAGCGGATACCCTGACTTCTTTCAGGAAGGGACTGGATGAGATTCTGGGAGGAGGAACAAGCCGGGCTTTGCTCAGGAAGGGGCTGGAAGAGACTGTGGGATGAGAGGTAGCCCCTTGCTGTAACTCCGATCCGGAAGAGGGTGTACTGGAATCCTGGCAAGGCTCCTGGAATACAGGTGTGAGAGCACCTGCGGACATTTCCAACACCAGGGGGCCCCCGAGTCCACATTGCTCCCTGGGAAACTGCCCCCAGACGCGCTCTGCACTCCACGCACTCTGCACTGCCCATCACACCAGAAACCCACTGCAGTCTGGGACAGGTCAGTTTTGCCTGCCTGCTGTGTTATAGTGTAACATCTGCCAGGTTTCTCAAGTGCCTGTCTGTGTGGAGTCTGCATGTTCCAGGACCATGATCCCGCATTGGAACCCCAGATTTCTCCCCAGGTCCTGAGACCAGGCTGGCTGGGCTTGATTGTCTGTTCACTCTTGACACCCTTGGGTTTACTCCCAGTAGGCAAACAAGCACCGCGGGATGTGTCATCTCTCAGCCATGCATAGCACACGAAAAACTACTCCAACCTCAGTAAACAGAGGACTCTGCACTGGCAGACACGCCGTTGAAATATTAACAGCATGTCCTGGCGTTTCTGCTTCCTCAGGATAAAATGCACCCTGTCCAGGGGCCAGACTGCTGTGCTGTGGGATTCCAAAGTTGCCAGTCTGGGGTTTGTTATTGTGGTCTGGGCTGATTAAACACAGAGTGCCTCATTTGAAAAAGTCAAGTCATCACTTCTGAGTGTGTTTTGCAGTCCTACCCAGTAATTAAGTGTTACAAATGAGGAGTTGTCCACAGATGACAGGCTCTATTCAGAGCCTGCGTTTAGGCCTCGCAGAAAAACCCAGAGACAGGCCAGTTACATCACTGCCAGACATAGCTCACTGTACACAGGGGCTA